ACCCCACAAAACTATAATAAAAATACTGATTAATTAAAAAAAAAAAATAAAAAAAAATAAATAAAATAAAATTTAAAACAGAAAACACGCAGTAGCCATGTAGATTGAGGCAGAGAAATCCTGGACGTTGGAACGAGATAAGATAAAAACGCTTAGAAACAGATAAAATAGCAGCAACGCCAAAGACACCGTGGAATCCGGGTCCACTGTCAAAGGCAGAGTCTCGCTGCTTCCACTTGCACACACAAAAAGTGTGCAAAATACCTGAACTTTGAATTTCTGTTGTGAAAAGCCGGTGATGACCAGCGTTCTGTGTAGATTCCATTTGGAACTTTCCGGGGCCAAGAGGCACCATTAAAAAACACGTCGTGCAACATGCTCGCTTTTGCTTCTGCCTTCACAGGTGCTGTTTTCACTTAATTGTCAACTGTCGATGCTTGACCTGCGTTTCTGCACTCACTTCTTTTGTTCTTCGGGCCCTAGTGTGCTCAGTTCCCGTGAATGCTACAAATCTGCAGATACAGGGGAAGCCTAAGGAGGTGTGGGGAGAGGACAGCAGTGCATTCCGGTGACACAAGGACAATGGTGCCACAGGAAAGAGAAAAGAGGTCGAGGCCTGTTCTGTGGAGTGCAGAACAGGGAGGGCAGGGAATGGTCTATTTTCCTGTCAAAAAGAGTCAAGTGGCTTATAAAATAGGTGGGGAGAGAGGACAGTTCTCACATCCATCAGGCATTCATTCATTCATTCGTTTGGCAGTTCATGTATTTGTTAATGATAATATTGAGAAAGAAAAAGGCCTGGAATTTGACACGCGATTTACCTTACATCATCCTATAGTCGTATCTTTCCTTCAGAGTGTATCTCCCATGTACCTGCCTGTGGTAGGCTGAGTCATGCCCCAACACCCCCACCCAAAGAGATCGAAGTCCTAAATCCAGAGCTCGTGAATACCACCATTGTCCATCACCAGAAATACTTTGCAGGAGAGACTAAATTAAGGACCTTGGGGTGAGGAGGCCATCTGGGATGATCCAGGTGGCCCAAGATCATCACCAGGGCCCTTCGGGGAGGAAGGCAGAGTCAGAGGAGGCAAGCGGTGTGATGGCAGAAGCAGCTGAGGTGAGGGGGTGTGAGGACACTACACTGACAGCTTTGACGGTGGAGGAAGGGGCAAAAGCCTCCAGAAACTGACGACCTCCTGAAGCTAGCAAAAGCAAGGATGACAGGTGTTTTTCTAGCCCTGATGTCCCCTTGGCTGTAGCCCAGTGAGACTGATTTTGAATTTCTGAGCTTCAGAACTGTAAGAAAATAAATTTACTAAGTTCATGGTAATTTCTTACAGCAGCCATGGGAAACTAATATGCTATTGTAAGTTACTATAGTAGAAAACTAATAAAGTGTTTTATTAGCTGAAATAATAGATTATGTTATAATAAGAAGTAGAATTAACTCAGGGGCTGCTATGTGCTAAGCAATATGCTAATATCCTTATGGTTATTATACTAATTCTCAAAGGTTCATGATGTGTGTGTTGCTATTTTCTTATCATGTGATAAATAAGATAAACAAGGCTTGGAGAAATACTACAGTTAGCAAATGGTACCAACATTCAAGATTGGTCTAACCCAAAATCTACCTACAATATTCTTTATTGTTACATAATCTCAGACAAATGTTTCAGTTTCTACAACTGAATGTGTTTCAGCTCATGGAAACATGATTTCATTTTGGCTTTCTTATCTGGTTAAATTAGCATTTTCCGGAATATATGATATCCTATGACTGTTTTGACTTTTGATGATGCAGATTTATCAGATGAGAGCTCAACGAAGCTGAATTCATCCTCTTCAGTTCTCCATCCTAAGTATGTAAACACTCAGAGGCTTTAGGCTGTTTATTCCCGTTCATTTCAACAACCCACTCCCATGACCACACCCTGCACTTTGCCCTGAAACTTGATAATAGCATTTTCACTCTTCAGGCCCTTCCTCTATGCCCTGCATTTCAGCCTCTCGGGAACTCCCTGAACCAACACTTGAACTTTCCTCAAATTAACCTGTTCACCTGCTTGAACCTGATGACTTTCCTCGACACTCACCTGCAATTTGATCATCGGAATCGATTTGATTTTCTTTCCTTTTTGAGACCTGAGCACTGAGGGGGATGACCCAGTTTGTATCCCATCAGATTGGTTGTTCACAAACACATGTGGTGGTCGGGCTCGGTGGCTCAGCCTGTCATCCCAGCACTTTGGGAGGCCGAGGCGAGTGGATGGCCTGAGCCTGTGGGTTCGAGACCAGCCCGGGAACCTTGGCGAGACCTCGTCTCTACAATAAATTAGCCAGGCATGGTGGTGCGTACCTATAGTTCCAGCTACTTGGAAGGCTGAGGCGGAAGGATTGCCGGAGCCCAGCAGGTCGACGCTGGGGTGTCCAGGAGTGTGCCACTGCACTCCAGCCTGCGCGACGGAGTGAAACGCCAACCCAACTGAAAACAAAACGTACAAACAAACAAAAAACGAAAAAGAAACAAACACACGTGGTGCCTTTTTTCCAACCCCCCCCCCCCCGGCCTTTTGAATATTTCACAATGGCTGTTACAAATGGACAGCCTTTCCTATTCTCCTTAAGTCTGTTGTGTGGTAGAACGTCTCTTTTTTTCCAAGGAGGAGTCTCCCTCAGCATACTGGTAATTCCATATGCCATTCTTACAGAGTCCAAGAAGGATACATTTTATGCCGCATGTACAACAGGGCTCGCCTTCTGTGATTGGGACATGGCTGTCTCCTCAAGTCTCTCAGGCCGCCAGTCTAACTTCGCCCTGAAGTTCCCCCAGAATGCTGAGGGAGAATTCTCCTTGAAAAATGAAACGTTCCACCATTTAACCGACTTGAGAACAAGAGAAAGGGCTGTCCATTTTCGAGAATTTAACCAGGGTCGCAGGGTCTCGCGCTTGCGTGTGGAACCATGGCCTGTCCCCTTGTGTGAGCTCCTTGATGAGTACTTGCATATCTTGAATGAGTGTTTCAATGACTCTCCTCAGAGGAAGATACCATTGCAATGTCAAACTGTGCTCCCCTGGAGAAAGGGGAGAAAGCCTGCAGAGACTGTGTGTGGCAGAAGGCTGCTGAGGTCTCTGGGTGGCCTGGGGAAGGTGCACTGTCGCCCTTCAGAGGTGGGCGCAAGCTGCAGCCAAGAGGCTGTGAAATGGGCTCTGACAGAACATGTCCATCAAATCTATAGCAGCAAATTGCTGATCAGTTTCCGATCAGATGGGGCCAGTAATTTTAATAATATTGAGTATTAGGTGTGAGGAACTTAACGTGGCCCACAGCATAAGGGTGTGCATTTCTCATCACCTGAACCGAACAAGTCAAGGTTGTGGTGGCCGTGAGCGTGCCACTGCACTCCAGCCTGAGGAATAGAGTGAGACCCCAACTCAAAAAAAAAAAAAAAAAAAAAATGCCCGATTGGGCTACTAGGTATGTTGAGCGGAGAAGCAGCGGGGAGAATCACTTCTTCACTCATTAGGCCTTCTATAAGTTAAGAGTTTGGCAATTGAATATTGTATGGATTTGCTTTTCTCTCTCTCTCTTTCCCTGATTCTGATATGATTGTTGTTGCAGAAGTTTGCCTGACATGAGACTTTGTAAGGCAATTTAATACTACTTATTTCCCCAGCTCTGATCGGTTTAAAAAAGCCAAGATAGTTGCATGCTTTCTTAAAATGATGAGGCCAACAAGTCTCATTGTGAAGAGGATTTATTCTCTACTAACTGCTCAGGTTTGAATTGTGCAATCGTGATGTCAATATTACATTTACAAATCAGAAATACACCGATGGTTTAATAAATTCATATGTGTGCCTAAGAAAAGTGGTTATGCCAGTAAATGTTTATTTACCCCGTTATCCTGTAGAAACAAGTAAAACTTGTTTAAGAAGCAATATATTCTAACAAAACCAGAGATGCAGGTGTAAAATTAAAATGCACACACTCAGTCTGTGATATTTCTGCCACAGGCTTTTCAACACCTGTTGACCATTCAATGATAGGAAACATCGAGGGCTAAATATACCAGTTCTGTGGAAATTCTTTCCCAAAATAGTTCTGAGCAAGTTGCTGGGCCAACAGATAGGCAGACATCAGGATTTTGTGTGGCAAAGCAACTGTCTTCAGCGGTTGGCATTTGGTCAGCGTTTAAAGCCCTTTGGGGTCCAACAGCTGATTTCCTCCTTTGTCCCACTCTTTCCTGTTTATTTTCCTGGGCGTGACAGCCACACCCTCCCACATTAGCCTTCTGAGGCAGCTTCTGAGATTGTGACACAGCTGTCCACAGTTATCTGGCCACCACCACACCATTTGCAAATTTGAATCCACTGGCTGAGCACCTCCCTGAGGCTCGTAAAATGCAAACTTTTAGACAAACAAAGGGCTGTTCATTTTTTATGTAGGTCAAGTAAGTCTCCAAGCCATTTCTAACTAGCTATTTTGGTAGATTGGCCTTTTCCTTCTATTAGAGAAAAATAAAAGTTTCACCTGTCAAGCCTTATTGTTCTTTGTTTGAACTCAAGTTAAAACATTAAAACTTCCAGCAATAAAAAAGATGCTTACATTTTAAAATAATGTACTCATACTGTAAGCACAGATACTTTTTTTTCTCTTTCCCTTGGCATTCTATAATGAGTTTTTTCTTTGCTATTAGAAACGTCATTTTCCATGACCATTTAAAATTTCCATACATTTACTTAACCATTTCACAAGTTGGAAATTTATGTTGTTTTAAATTTTTTGCTATTTTTTTTAATTTTAAATATGTGGAGTACAATTCAGAGTTAGGTATACAAATGCTCATTATGCAAGTACCCTTGTTGATGAGGTGTGTCTCCCCCTCCCCGGCAGTTTCCCACTACTGCCAGTCCCTGTCTTATAGTATTACAATAGTTGTTCAAGATCTGCTTACTCAGTTCTTTGTTTCTGTGATAGATCACTCACTATTATAGCCTCTAAGTCCATCCAAGTTGCTGCGAAGTTCATAATTTTGACCTTCTTTATGGCTGCATAATACTCCATCATGTATATGTCCCACATTTTTTTTATCCAGTCCTCTTTTGATGGGCAGCATGGTTGGTTCCATGTTTTTGCTGTTGTAAATAATACTGCAATAAACATACGTGTCGGGAGCCATAATCTTACAGGTGCCAGTTCTGAAGCTGCCTGAAGCATATCCACTTCACCAGGCAGGCAGAGCCACTGGTGAAAACCATGGAATTGGCAGAGCCCCATGGAAGGGAAGGCAGAGGGACTTCAGATGGCCCTGGAAAAAACAACAATGTATGCTCCTCATGGCATTAAGTTTCATGATATGTTTATCCTGG